TTTCGAGTTTGGAAAGGAAGGGGGTTACATAATGTACACATCTAACAACAATAAAGTAGATCATTCGAAAGAACTAATTTGACGTTAGTTTTTGTCAGAAGGTTGCTTGACATAAAAAACGAATGTATTCTTTCATGCTTTTTGTTTAGTGGAATTTCGGTATTTCTTTGTATTCAAATGAGCTCTGTTTTCAGAAATACAATGTGCAGTCTTGCTCTAGAAAGCAATTACATTCACTTAAGACTATTTATCAGAGTTATTTTAACGACAAAGATCATAGTCAAATTTTATATAATATTTTTGTGCAGTTTTCTGTTTTTTGTACAAAATGTTTTTAATGTTATTGTAAAATAGAATACTCATGCAGTGCGACTATAATACAACATTGGGACTTGTTGTTGATTCTCCACTAGTACTACTGATACTACTATTTGTAATCGATGTTTGTATGGGCAATTCATATACATCTTTCTCAATTTGTAGTGTTCTCTCACGCATTGCATATATCGAAAATGTTCCAAATTCAAACGCTGTATATTTTGAGCTAGCCAGCATTTCCATTGCAAATCCTCTATATCAAGAAAAAACACCTCCAAAGTTCTAAGAAATAACAAAAAAACATCCATTTTCATAATTTACTGGTAGAGTCTCGTAGAGGGAATAGTCGAAAACTTTTCAAGGGCAAATAAGTATCTATAGTTGGTCTACTCATATTCATTTCTTTGAGATTGTTCTTTGAGGGCTTTTTCGATGTCTTCGTCGTTTGAACAGCATTGGGACTTGTTGTTGATTCTCCATTGGTACTACTATTTGTAACCAATGTTTGTATGAGTAATTCATATACATCTTTCGATGCGAAATAGTCAGAATCGGGCGGAAAATAATGAGAAAAGCAATTTTTGTGTAATAAAAGCTGTTAAACTAGTAAAATAGAAAAAGTGATTGTTTAAAAATAAAAATGTATACCAGGTAAAACCAAGAAAATCTTCCTTGATGATATATTCATGGCATAAATAAATTGGTTACACTTGATTATCTCGGGGAGAAGTGTGTCTAAGAATTGAAAAAAATGAATTATGTAATATATAGATAACGTCACATATACTATATTTCCTTTTTTATAGCGCCATACTGATGTTATCTCCTCCTCTGCATTCATTTACTGCTCTAGAACGTTAATTTCTCTTCCAGTATTACAACAACGTTTATACAGTTTTAAAAAGAATTTCCTCTTTCTTATGGAGTAGACTTTATAAAAGCATAACTTGAATGATTGCTGGGGAGGACACTTTACTGATTTATAAGAATTATCAGAGGCGTAAATACTGGATGGTTGCCGGAGGTTGTTAAAAAAAAATTATTTCGATATGTTCTTTAGAATTTCAAACGGAGGAAAACGAACATTTTTTCCACTAGCAAAAAATGTTTTTAAATAACCCCCTTACTTGTTATTTGTAGCTACTGTGCTGACAATTATTGACATATTGAAGATAACGATACCGAATACGGATATTATTTTATTAGATGAGCGATGTGTATGAATCAATTATCGAATCATTTGCTCGAAATATATAGAAACAATGCTATATAATTTAACAATATTATCGATTTAATAAAATGAGGATCAGAAAATTTATTAGACAAGGTTGATTTAGCGGAAAAATGATTACGAGAAAAGTGAATATTTATGGTACTATTTGGTTAAAAATGTTGCGAAGAAAAGGTGCAGAATTTGACAACAGATAGTGCAAAACGTGTTATACATTGTAAATAAATAAGATAAATTGGAATAACAAAACGAGATGGACAGTTTAAAAGCAAAAAGTAAACAATAAGTATTTAACATTCGAATCGTCATTGTAACCATCGAGTTTGTTTTCAGTGTAATCAGTACAAGGTTTGAGGCAATTAGTCCTTCTAGTATTTTGACCTCTTCCTGGAATTTTCAGATTATTACTATACAATTACGTTAAAATTTCACCGTTAGAATGATTAATAGCACTTAAAATTCTCCCTAGAGAAGTTATGTTTCCTATCTTTCCTTTCAACTTAGAGTTAATGCGTTCGCTAAATTTTTTATTTGAGTCAATTCTCAAGCAAACCACAGAGTGGACGCGGTGCATCATTTAATATTTAAGTTTTGATGAGAAAAGTATCAATGCAAGGCGATAGATAACAAGTAGAGTTCAAATGATGAAATAAGGCTGAAGAAAAACTGTGATTCATTGATTTTATGATAATTACGAAAGTTTTTAGTTGTGAGCAAGAACAAGTAGGATAAATTCCCGTGACCGTACACCGTATTAGCTGTTATCTCGTTATGCAGTTTTTCTCACTCTACTCTTCGTTTTGTTTTTTTATTCATTTTAAATTTGTATTAATGGATTCTAGACCCCATCTACCTATGATTTATCACATAAGGTGCATTAGTACTGTCATGGTAGACTGGCAACACTTCACTTTAAGAAGAGAAAGAGTCTGAGTTACTTATAATATTTTTTATTATACACTGGAGCATGACATGCTAAAGATCTGCAGAAATTGCTTTGACAAGAAATTTAATGTCAGAAAGTGATCAGCTTTGACCGTAATTATCTTACAAATCATAATCTCTTTTGAGGAATCAGAGACTCCTGGAAGAGAGCCATTCAAGGACTGCAAGAATCAGCTTAACTTCCGGTAGCGTGAGTCATGTTAGGGATACGCGAAGTGCGCTGGAATTGGTGGAAAACAAAATTTCATCGACTAGTCATCGATGTCATATTACATCTATCTTTCATTACGTAAGAGACTTACAAAATTGAATAGTGTGTTGGAATTCAAACATTTCACATATCAATAAAGTACAAAAATTTTGCTCGGTTGCGTTACGACGTTTTGGTCCATTGCTAGCCGTTAAAGTACATTAGGTAATGCATTACAACGCATGAACATGACAAAACGTTCTAAAGTATTCAACGGCGTAGAGTTTTTGTTCCATTAGAGTATATGATACTTTTAACGATAAATTAAAGCACTTTAACGTTGCGTTTTTTAGCGCTTTCTCATAGAAGAAAAAGCTCATGATGGGGAGAAAAATGTGAATCGATCAAAATTTAAATCAGAAGATTTCTTTAAAGTAGAGTTTTGTGTTGCAGTCATGACTACTGCTATATAAAATTCTATTTTATGTTGACTCTGAATCGTAAAGAATAGTTCTTTCCGATAAATTATTTACGAGGTTAGCTTTTATCGGTTAAAAACCAGTAAGAGTGCTGTTTTCTCTGCTGACTTATGTCATCAACATTGTACTGACTTGACTCGTGCTATATGTCTTTGTTTTTAGATTTAATCGATGATTGGATGGTCATGTTTTTAAACATAAATTATGCAAAACTTGTAAGTGGCGAAGATCATTTTTGGAAACTTAGCTCATATGCATATCTTGTTGCTCACATGAGTTTTTATTTGAATCATAAAGCTGTCCTTTAACAAATTCTTGTAATTTTTTAGGCCTCAGCAAGAGAAAAAGGGAAAGAAGATGAATACTTAACTCAACATCGACCTTACTCCCTATCTACTAATAATAAGTTCTTCAAACATCAGCAGGATGAAGAGTGCCTCGATGATTGTATAATAGACGAACTTTTGTCGTCACCACTACGATCACCGGAATCACCTAAAACAGACACAGTGTTGAAAAAAAGTGATACAATAAATGGGCCTTCTATTAAACGCGCTCGATTTTCATCGTCTACAAATGTTCCTAAAAATAATATAAAAGAGGATGACATTCGTAATACTGCAATTGATTCATGCAGTGATTATGTACATGGGAGAGAATCGTTGACAATAAAACCACCGATGTCTGCAAAAGCTAGCGATACTCAATTAAAAAATTATGGGTAATAGGATGCTGGCGTCACTTGTATTTTCTGCTGCTACAACAGAAGTTGTTCTATTCTTTAGTGGCGAAAATCAACCATCAATAATTCATCTAAAGTACCAACGAAACAACCACTATTCACGACAATTTAGTATTTCACAAGAACGGCAACAACAAACGACAGATGATAGTAATAACTCAACAACCCAACCTCATCTCGCAGTATTTGATAAAGAAAATGGAAGTGAGAAATCAAATTTTGTTGGTAAACAGTTTGGAAACGAACTCCGAAATTTATCAGAAGTACGTAAAACGAAATAAAATTATCTATTAAAAAAATATGGAAGAAAGAAATCGTAAATGATTTTCGAAATAGTCCATGCGTAAGTTGCGGCTTGCTTGCTCACAAACTTTTACCTTCTCATCCTTAATTTTGCACTTAGCATTCTAAGTCTGTTTGACATTCTGATGATGCACCCGCGTCATTTGAATATTACTTTGTCTTTGAAGTTTTTATCTTGCTTAGAAGGAAATTGTCGTAAGCCATAATTTCTCCATACCACATGCCGAAAAGCAATCAACGCATTTAAATAATACCATACGCAATAAGAATAGTAACAATATATTGAAAAATGATTGTCAAACTTCTTTGCCATTCGAACCAAAATTTGATCTTGAATTTCAATTTTCACCACCATCAACTTTTAATGATTTCAGTGACGATAAAGAGAACGAAAACGTTCATAATAATGACAAATTTATTAATGAGCTCTGCACTCCTTTTAAAAAGAAAAATGAAATGAAAGTTCTGGCTCAAAACTTAAGTAACTCGTGGAGCACACTAAAAAGAACATCCTGTGTTTCATCGTTAACACAATCAAATCGACTATCCCAGCGTTTATCTGATGATCGATCTCAATATTCGTCACTAGAACATGATATGATAATTGAAAACATCACTGATATTCACATCTCACCTCTTGAAATCTCTCAACTATCGTCTTCTAAAACAAATGACTATTGTCCTATGAGCACTTTAAATAAACAACAATCATTGGATGCGAAAAATTGTATTACCAGAATTAATACTCCTCCATTCTCCTCTCTGGATAAACAACAGCTGAGAACAATAACAAAATTAGGCCTTAGTGCATCCCAACATCAACAACGTTCTCCGAAATCATTGTACACAAATTGTAATCAACAATTGGGTGAGTTTTATTAATATAGAGGATGGTAAAGATTTTTCGATCGAACTTCATTTAATGAGAGATTTTTGATTGATAGCGAGTTTCAGGCAAAAAGAGATTGGAACATTTTAAATAATTCGTCTCATCTCATCATCTAAAAGTTTCTTGAGATGAATTGTTAATTTAATTGTTCTTGTTATAGGTACTAACAACAAGAATTTTACAAAAATAGAACAAAGATCAGAGTGGAAGAATTGTCTACTAAGTGAAATACAAACGGAGAGTAGATATTCAATTTTTCTTGATCAAACGATAAATCGTGATAGTGACATAGTACCTCTCAAACCGATCGAACAGGAAAAAGAAGACTTAAGGAAATTTATCAGAGAAAATGATCCTAGCTTATTAAAGAAATTTGACCATTTTCAAAATGTTGTTGTTCAAGAAAATCAATTTTCTCAAAAACTTCATTCATCTCCATCATTAATCAATATCTCAGCACAAGAATCGTCACAATCAAGTGTTATTTATGATGACCGAAAAAAATCAAATGATTCAATGATACAACCTATTCAATCATGTAGGGAAATGTTTGACTTACAGTTACTAATTTAGAGTTATTTCTGATTTGATTTTATTTAGCTTTATTGAGAAAATTATCAAATGAAATAATACCGCCATCGCTAATGTTAAGAGAAGACAAAGATCCATCGATAATAGAAATTCACCTAGAAAAAGGTTTGGACAACGAATACTTTTTATTATTCAATTATTTTATAGTGTAAAAAATTAATAAAATTCCAGTAGTAGTTATCCGCTCATTATTTCCTACATTGTTTTGCTTAAGGATATTCCGCTTTTTTCATTCTACTCGCAAAGCTGATTGAGTCCAAATTTTTATCACATATACATCAACTCCTATCTCAGACTCGAAATTTTTCTCTAAATTTAACTTTCATTCTCGAAATATTCAAGAAAATGCTGAAAATCCTATATAAAGAGCTGTTTTTTTAATTTTAAAAATTTCGCTAAAAACGTTGAAACTAAAAATGATTTAAAAGATTTAGCATCTGAAATCGAGTCTGAAATATTTGTGGTAAAAATTTGGACTCGATCCGATCATATCACCGACAGAAAAATAAAGTTCATGCAGCGCCGAGGAAAAATGCATTTTTGTAATCGGCACATGTAATAATCCAGAAGATTTTCTGTTTTGGACGAGGGATCCTGCCGAAAATTTAAGGAATAATTTGAAACTAATATTATTTTCCTACAGAGATTTTTTTTCATCGTTTTCTTCGAAAAATTTTTGACAAAACAGAAAATCTTCTCGGTTAGTGTGCTGATTACAAAAATGTACTTTGCCGCAACTCCACATGCACTTTATTTTTTTCTTCACAATGATATGCACCATTTTCTGAAGAATCGAAGCGTGACTGGATTAGAACCAATAATGTTTTGAGCCTTGGACATAATATTAAACGGAACAAATTTTCACAGCAAATTTGCGACAATGCTCATATTTCTACGAAGAACCATTGGCAAAGTTCGGATGTAGTCTCATTGTGACGAGAAAATTTTACTCGATAAGATTATGTATAAGAAAAGAATTTTGAAATTATTAAAAATAAAAGAAAAATGAACAAAACAAATGGAATCTTTTCAGCTTTTTGAGGAAAGATTTAAAAAATTTTATGAAATGCTGAGAGTGATCTTTGTTTGTAGTTCCGACTTTCCTCTACATTAGGCTATATATGAGGTGTTATTCTTAAGTTCTGTCTGATGTATTTTAGAGCCGTTTAATCAAGTGCATGAAAATTTATTGAATTTTATTCTTCCATATTATAAATCTTTACGTACGAAAAACATATGGCCCGAAAATTTGAATTTTATATCGTTACACGCATCTTATGAATTAATTAAACAAATAAGTGAAAATCATCGAAATGTATACGGTAAATGAATATCTTTTTTGTTTGTTTGTCTGTTTTCTAACAAATATGTCCATTTGTATATTTAGATAATGATCAAAATGAAATATTAACTCAGTTAATGTTTATTTATTCGATAACATCATTTTTATATGTTTTTGCCTATTGTTCATTACAAACAGCGGTTTATCATGTTGAAAATATTATTTTACAAAATATGAAATATATTTGTGTTGGTATGAGAAGAGAAAATAATTGTCTGTAAATATTTTGTTCGTTTATAACTTTTTTTTTCTCTAGGTGTCGAACATGGAAAACCGCTATTTAATATATTAAATAAAACGTATACATCATTTCAAAATATTTTGCATCCCAAACTCTATCAGACAAAAACTATTTTGTTATCATTTTTGAACGATAAAAGAAAAAAATCATTCCCAGATCCAAAGGTTTGTATTCTTTCATTTTTTCTCTTTCTATAAAGAAATCAGAAGATATTTAGCGCAAATATTTTATTTCAACTATTATATTGAATATCTAAGATCAATTCTCAGCTATTTGAGTGATCCAGTGACATTTACATTTTATGATTTAGTTTCTAATCGTTGTTCAATACGAGTCTATGGATTTAATGAAAGATATTTATTCGGTCATAACAGATATTGACGAGATTCATCCACATATTTATGACATGGAAAAGACTTTAACAAATTTTGAAATTCTAAAACTGTAAGTATAAACTCCTAGTCGTTTTGCGTGTTTCTATCGGGTGTCCTAGATTAAATGACACTCTTAGTATTTCGTATTCAACTTTTTTTTATTATGTTTCCAACTGTTAATTATTTTTTCATTAGATGCATCGTCAGCTGCTGCTCTACAAAAACATAAGAAAAATATTTATTTAGACCCGAAAAAATAGAAAATTAGAGGAAATATTGGGAGACTCTAATCTTCATTACTTTGTAATCCAAAAGACACTTTTGTCAATTTTAATCTTTCATAATTTGCCCCATAAAACAAAGAATATAGTGGTTTTGTATCTCTTGAAAAGCTTTATCAACTGATTATATTTAACATTCTTTACAATCATAAATAATTGAGAGAGAATCTTTTTTCTTTTAACGGTACTACCAAAAATCATAATTTCTAAACTACAGTAGTTTAGTACTTATGAAAACTTTTATAATTCCACACACATTGTGAGATCGGATTTGTTTTATCTTAAAGCAAAAGAATTTTTCTCCAATATCCAAACAGAGAAAGTTCAATAACTCCATCTTTTCTTTCAAGTTTTTCTTTTTTGTAACATCCTAGACACATTCGTGTTAAAATAAAGTGATTGATTGATTGATCTCTTTTCCTTTCGTAAGGTGAACAAGACAAATTTCACCTTTTTTTTGGTAAGTTTTAATAAAATCACATTTTGTGTCGCAATAGTAGATTCAAATCGAACCTATAATACACGAAAAGAAAGGCGACACTCTGGAGCATCAGAACATCCATTTTGGTTTTCCTTTCACCCAAGCCATCGTGTTCAAAATAAGTTTTTCTTTCATTGTGTTTTAGGCACAGTGGGCATTTTTCAGTAGAAGGCGAACATTTAGTTTTTAGATTTAAAAAGTAGTTATTTGTGTGTAATATCGCTCTGTTATATTTCAAATGTTGATAAAAAGCAAGAGAAATCATACTCGAAAAAAAAACCTTGAAGGGGTCCCTTACCCTAAAATTGTGTCGAAAAAACTTTTCTTAAGAAAATAATTCAATCACACATTATTAGATGCAGTTTCATGTGCTGATTTCAAATAAAACATAGTTTTTTTTAATAAAAATGCTTTCTAGTCGAGAAAAATGTAACATATCTGAAAGACTATGTTTTTTAGAAAACCTTTAACTTGACTTTGGAAAACATGTGCATTTACAATAGATACAGAATATGTCAACGAACATTTTGATGTGAATTGGAGTCAAATTCGGCCTTGCTAACTTTCGCGTTTTTATTACACTAAACAAAGCTCTTGGAAACACAGTTTCAATTGAGAGAATATTGTGGTTCACTTATAGACTTAGTCTCTGCTAAAAACGTTTCTGACTGATAGGTAGCTGAAAAAGCCTAGACTCCAAATATATACCTTTTTGCAACATTAAATTGACTTAACTCAATAAAACTTGATTTTTCCGAGGAGGTCGCTCATGTAGAGACTGTTTTTAACTTACACATTTTTTCTACAAGTTTACTACTTGTAACAAAACTTTTTACACCATTAGATAGCCCATGGATTAAAATATATTTGACATTATCTGAATTCTAGAAAAGCACCCTTTCAAATTTTTGCCAAATGTCCGTCTGGATGCCCACTGTGTTAGGTTACAAAGTGGTGGAGATTGAAGTCTCCCAATGTTTCCTCTAATTTTCTATTTTTCAGATCTAAATAAATATTTTTCCTATGTTTTTGTAGAGCAGTAGCTGACGATGCATCTAATGAAAAAATAATTAACAGTTGGAAACATAATAAAAAAAAGTTGAATACGAAATACTAAGAGCATCGATACTACACCGCTCTTCTTCTAGATTCAATGAAGTGAATTTATTAATTATTCAGAGTCGACAAATAAACTTAAATCACATAGTATACTCGAAATTATCATTAATTATTGAATATGAATTTAACGACGATTCTGTGCTGAAATTATTTTCTCAACAACAAAATATTCTATATTACTGTTTTAAAACTATTTTACCGTCGTATAAAATACCATTAGGTACTAAATAATATTACACAACTTTCTGATAAATAAGCGATTCTTCAGAAAAAGAGCCGAAGTTCTCAGGTTTTCTGACGCCAGCACAAAGACGGCAGAATCGTACGAGCAGCGGGAACAACGTCATCGCAGATTTGGAAATGTGGAAAGGTGTGGGGCCGGGATGCTGCATGATTCTCACATAAAAGATTTATTTCTTTGAGCTTGTCATATAACCCCTATATTTTTCGTATTTTTAACGCCTTTTTCTCTGTTTATTACAAGCGTATATTTTATGAACTATAGAGAACCAAGAATTTAACCTCGATTCGTCCCTAATTACTCACACTTATTTTTGATGCCGGTGTGTTAAAGTAGATAAAAGTAGAAAAGTCTATGTATAAATACCAGAAAAATATTTTGATACTTATTCCCACGGTTTCTAACTCGAAACGCCGCCTCTGTTAGCATACAGGGTATCCCCTAAAAAACTTACCGCTTCTGTATTTATTGGCTTTCTTGTGTACAAATATAATTGATCTTTTTACCATCAGTTTAGCCGAGTAGAGCAAAGATTTCTGGACAAAATGAGACGTCCCCGAGCTCTCTAAGAGCTCTTCTCATAAAACAAGTTTACGGAAGGTCTCATACCACCAAAATCAGCAAAATCAACGGGAAAACAAGAATGATACGCTCTTAGGGCCTTCCGTAAACTGAACGCTGTTTCATGAGAAAAGCTCTTAGGGAGCTCGAAGACGTCTCATTTTGTCCAGAAATCATTGCTCTACTCGACTAAACAGAACTTAGAAATGCGCTTTTTCTAAGACAGTATACTTTTATTCTGAGAATAGGCTGAATGGACGATTTCATTAGATAAAAGAATCTTATATAAAAAAACAAATTTTCAGAATTAGATTTTACCTTTTCTAGGTGACAAAGCTGAAAAACTTATAAAACAACCACCACTAGTATGTTTCAATGGTTCCACTACCAAACAAGTCGACATATCTACAATTATTTTGTCAAGACCATTGATTGAAAATACAAAATTATTACGAATACTTGAATGTCGGTATGTTTATTTATTTGATTTCACTGAATCTTTGATACTTGAAATCACTCTAAAATATAAATAACAGCTTTCTTATTCATATAATACTTGCATAGATCTATTATAGACACGATTTATCAGTTTTAACTCGCGATTATAATCATATGGGCATAAGCGAGTATCGTCAACCTGATATTTTGATCAATTCATCGACATCAATACTAGTATTTGATCTCAATAAAAAATTAGATATATCGAAAATTCGACAGAAAATACAAAATATCATAGAACAAACAAATCATTTACATATTGCCATACTGACAAGTGGGTGAGTAGAAATTCATATGCGTTTAAGTTTAGAGTATAAGTTACATAGTTTTATTTTTTCCCTAGATCAACCCCAGATTTTATTTTATCCAGTTACATAGCACCAATCAATCAAGTGGCTAGACAAATTCACGATATTCAATCACATATACAAATTCAGATATGTGAAAGAAGAAAAAACATTTATCGAATGAAAAAAACTTTTATCTTTTTCTCGCCGTTTTTAGATCAAATCATTCCATCACCTCAATGAATTTGCCATCTTTGTTGCTGAAATTGTTCAACAATTACCAAAACCAAATTATGTTTTAGCACCAACTGCAAGTGACGTAAGGGTATCCCTTTTCATTTGTATATATTAAACATACAAAAAAAAAGTCATTTCATTGTTTAGCTTGAGAAATTTTTGCTGAGAAAATGTCGCTCTTTGAACAGTATTAGGTATGTATTCGAGAATTTGTGTTAACATTGGATAAATTTTGCATATTTCTAATAGACATCAAAGGTCATCGATCGATTACTCTCTAATTTAATATTTATTTCTCTCACTATTTCAGTTACTTTGAAGTTATTAGATGAGACAGGTAGAATGATTATCGCTTTTGCTTTATCAGCCAAATGTTTTGTATCTTTGAAAAAGAACGTTAGATTTAATCATTTTCAGTGAGCTATTTTTGCAAATTTAGTGCTCAATTGATATTACAACGTTTTCAGAATGTCAATATGTCATGTCTTTCTCTCAATACACTCATCGATCATTGTCCAGATATTCCGTCACTTAACTTGAAAGTAAGAATTTCTTTCCAACGTCTCTGAATACTATGAAATAATTTTTCTCTGTTTTTTAAAGTCATTTCTACGCGATATCATCGAAGATAACCAATGAAAAGTTCAAACAATCGTTATTTTTATACATATGATTGTATAGTTTCGGTTATTTTTTGACACTTTTTTTATTTCTTTTTGTGTAAATGTGTGTGTTTTCGTGTTGTGAACTTCAATAGATTCAAGTAGAGTAACTGCGTCAAGTGACAGTTATTAGACGTTTCCAAATTATTATTACTGTAGTCTCTGTTTTATCTAAATTTTTTCTTTTCTGTCAAACACGTGTTGAAATATTTGTATGAATACATGCAAATATTAAATATGTGTGTATAACAAAAAAAATATTCCACTTTAAAGGGAACAGAAATCACCATGATTCAATCGTTCACAACAACATCACGATTAAAAAATGATAAATCGATCAAAGTTGAATAAACAAAAAACAAGTCAGACGTGAAATTTCATTATTGGATTTTGATAGAATAGTGTATAAAAGTTTGATTGTACACTGTAAGGTTAGAAATCATTTATGGAAAATGCTCGGCGAATTTCAAAGAGGTATGGAAATTCCTCGAGAAGTTTCCAACTTATAGAAAATCGAATTTCCAACAATCTAGAAAACCGTCCTTGAATTTTCACAAATAATCTCGAAGAATTTGGAAATTCCTTGTTGAATTTCCAGTTTTCTAGAAGATCGCCGTTGAATTTCCATAAAAAATATCCAAGAATAAAGTAGAAATTTCTTTTTGATTTTCTATAATCTGGAAAGCCCTTGGCGAATCTTCACCGAGTGGCGGCGCGATCGGGTTGCATTAGGGTTGATCCCACTCCCTGATGCTTTTGACAAATTTCTGGTGAACGTCACCGATTTTTCGACAGACTTACCGCAACTTGGCGCCACCACTGTCTCTGCCTAAATCAAAATTCTTGGTGGTATAGGCAGAATTGTGATCTAAAGTAGAAACTGTCACAGACGATTTAAGTGTAATATGAGTGCCTTTACGTGATACTGTTATACCTACACTGATTGCAAAACAAAAAGATGAATAAGTATTAATCTAGAAATTCCTGGGCGCATTTCACTTTCTAGAAAATCGCCGGGGATTTTCTAATTCATAGAGAATCAAAATCGAATTTTCAAATTCTTGGAAATTATTTATAGAAATTGGATTGATTTTCTATCAACTAGAAAATCTCCTGCGATTTTCTAGAAGGTCGAAATTCGCCCCGGAATTTCTTTCTTCTTTCATCTTTGTCGCCTATAAGTATTTTTTTCGTTACTGCGGCGGCGTCTATGCAGATGCCTTGATGTTTCACATGTCTTGTCTGTGATTCGTCCATTCCAGTGACATCTGTCGTGGAAATTATTTATCGAAATTCAACCTCGATTTTCTATAAACTGAAAAATCGCCGGGGATTTTCTAGTTTATAGAGATCCTCAGCGATTCTCCAGTTTTATAGAAAATCGAATTTATGGAAATTCAAGTCGATTTTGTATAAAGTAGAAAATCAACATTTTCTAGAAAGCTGGAAATTCGTGGAAGAAGTTCTATAAACTAGAAAATCTCTGGCGATTTTTCGGTCGATTTTCTATAAACTGGAAATTAATTCAAGATTACAGTGTACTTTTTGAACAAAGATTTACAGCTATTGATTAACGGTTAAATTATGTATAAGTTACAAGAAAATATATTTTTAAGTCCAGAAACATGTATTTAGGATTTTTTGATACTCAACAATAATACACAATAACGTTGGACGATAGTTTTCTAGATTTTTGATATCGAACGAAATTAAAGAGAGTATATTTATCAGAACATCCCAAGTGCACTTTCTTGACTGATTCGCGGCGCAAACGCAGATCGCGCAACTCACGCCGCGACCGCTAAGAAGTCGCTGTTGTCGTGAAGCGTTCGCGACCAACTCTTATTTTACAAAAAAACTCGTAATTCACGAACGCGACGCGACAATAGTGAGTTATTAGCGATCGCTATAAGAAAAAGTTGTCATGTCGCCATCGTATATTTCTCTTACGATCGCGACATGATACAGCGTCGCGGCGCGTCTCTTGTGCAAATCCTATTCACCGTTTTGTTTCCTTATGTGCCTGATATCTTCACTGATTTTTCGAAAACTTTTCAAAATCTTATCACATCTTAATAATAGTTTATGACATGACTAATATAGTCTTGCGTTAAAAATAGCGTGGCTGCAGGCGGATCTAGGATTCTACCGACGGGGTGGCGATTTCGAAATGATGTCGTCCGAGGTAGTATGAATATTTTTTCTAAGGAAGTCTGGTAGTGTACTTGCATTAGAATTTCATATGCGAGGGGGCGGCGGTCGCCAGATCCGCCACTGCGTGGCTGATATACTGATATTAGACAGAAAACGAGGATAAATAGTAACTATAGCAAAATACTTGAGAGTCATTGATTTTTGTATGATCGCGAAAAAATAGCGATCGCTAAAAAGCGCGTCTTATTTGGCGAGTCTTACAGTGGAAGAGTTACGCGATCCTGCCGCGAATTTTTTAAGTGACATGCGATAAGACAGTGGACTTGGGACATTTTTCGAACAATCGTATACTTCACTTTAACTCTAGAAGCTTGCTTTAAAAAGTTTTGTTCACATAGCAAATATCAATTCCCCATGTTAAGCTTAAGTAACATGAACTTTCTTATCAAACACTTCTAAATAACTGACAATTAATCCAGTTAAGTAAAAGCAATACTTTCCTTACAGAAAATATTTGATTTTCATAAAACTACAGTAATTTTCGATGTATTTTTTCATACATGAATTTTCCAAACCCTGTAAAAGTAATACAAAAAATTTCTGTTATGAATAGGGGTAGCACTTTACCTTTACTTGTAACGAACTTAGTTACTCGAACTTAGTGTCGTTACTTCGTTACTAGTAACTGATTTCGTTACTTAGTTACTTTCGTTGTTCCACCAGAAAGTAACGAAAAACCGTTACTTTTTAGAGAAGTAACGTAGAACTAAGTAACGAAATGAGTTACTAGTAACGAAGTAACTTCGTTACTCTACCTGGTAAACTAACGCCAAGTAACTAGTAAAGTGCCAGCCCCAGTTACGAAAAACGAAATTTCATAGTTTCAAGATTATCACTCACTATTTCAGAACAAAAATGGACGCTTTCGTTTGCGACTAAATATCCGCATCCTTGCCCACTGTATCCATCTTACCTACCAACGATTATTTTAAAATTAAGAATTTTCTTGCTGCTGAGGTGTTGGAACACCACAAAAGCAATCGCTTTGAAATTAGCTGACACGTTGATAAACAAAGTCATAAAGAGTCTTCAGATAACTGTGCCGTGAGAAGCTTTTTGGTGGAACCAACGAGAGCGATCATCATTCACAGTAAAATTTCACCTACACAGTTTCGAGCTATAGAATACGTTCATAAGTGTAGGATTTTCTGGATTTTGATCATGAAATAAAGTATGTTTCTAGAAGAAAAGAACGATTATGCACTACTGAGAATAAAGATTCTGATATTTATTGTAAGACATACAATCAGTAAAATCTTGTTTTTCTTTTTAAGATTTTTAAAATGTATTCATCAATATAATGACTATATTTGTTGCATCTGTAACCACCATTCCTCCTTCAGTTTAACGAGTCATTACGAGGAAACAAATGCTGTTTGTATAAATCGGCAAAATAAGAGAAAAATGATCATTTATATATAAGAAAGTTATATTTTATTGACTTAATCGTTTTGTCGAACAGGCTTTCCTGTACGACTGAGAATTTTTGTATATAGCGCCTCGTGTAAGTGCGGCGTAAGCTTGAAAACATTCACAATTCACTGTTGTTCCTAAAAAATCTACAAATAAATAAAGCAAAATAAACAAACGGTTTGAAAACAAATAATCGAAGCATTCTTCTATCGGATCCCAAAAAACGTTTTCTGAAGCACATGAAAAGACAAATGCGAAAAAACATTCTTTTGAAACCAAGCGGCTTTCTCCCTTTTATAATTTACATCGTTAAGCAGTTTCTCGAATCAAATAGAAGTGTTAACAGCGTCCTACTTAAACGGAGAGACGGGACTAGTATAGTAGAATTAACGAAAGATTAACACCACAGTACTGCCGTTAATCCATATTCAAAATCACGTTACCCAGAGCGCAGAATCTTGAAACATGAACTCGTGAGATCATATTAGAAGACATCACAAGAATCTTTTAAATTTTCACAAGATTTTTTTTGCAACAAGATTTTGTAAGATCTGCGTGATCGTACAAGACGTTCAAGATTTCATAGGATCTTAGAAGAATTCATCAGATTTTACAAAATTATGTACCTGATCCTGTCCTACAAGTTTTCTCAAATCTATTTTTGTTTTTATTAATTCTAGCTTTTATCAGACTCGTCTGTTCGTACGATCCCTGTCAAACCATGTTGCTTATAGTCATGCACTTTCTTTGTGGTTCTCAGCTGATATGTGAAGGACGAAGTCACAGTTTCGTCATAGAAATGATGTAGTCTAATGTATACTAGATATCGTAGCAAAATTTATAGAATGAGTCATCACCTCTTGCAGGATCATTCTTCACATTTTCAGATGCGATAAAAATTGATCAATTCTGATAACGAATTTCTTAACAAAAAGTTATTTCTACTTTTTCTAACGGTTACATTAGTGAGATTGTGCTGATAGTAGGTTTAGTTACCCATTCAGACATTTCAGAACTGATCATCATCCATCGATTTTTTAATCTACTCTAATAGACGTTTATGGGTAATTTGGCGTAAACGAAGACACGCAGTTGTCAAAACCTGCTTTTTGTAAAAGTGTCCTTCGAAGTGTGTTAACTCCTACTCATCGCTAATGATATGAGCAAATAAAAAATATACCATTCGATGGGGCTTGAAAAACTGATTTTAATCCGCTACTTGAATTTACATATCACCGAATCGAAAGATTTTAAAAGCTTGTTCGATCAAAACTGATTGCAGATTCGTCTTCTCCATGGTTGATTATGTGTTACGCAATAACTTTCGGATTGGGGTATTTTAGACAAAAAATTTCCCATGGTCTTGCTCAAAAGTTTTTCAAAAAGTTATCATATGTGATCAAAGGCAAAACGATGTCCAAAAATTTTTCTAAAGTACCCCGACCCAGAAGTTATCGCGTACCACATAATCAACCATGGAAAATACGAATCTGCAATCGATTTTGACCGAACAAGCTTTTAAAATTTTCGATCTGGTGATATGTATTTGTTTTTGTTAGTAGAGAAAAATCCAACTTTTTTTGGATAGACGCATACAGGTGAACCCACCCCCCTCTTTTTCGAAAAAATTTCGGATTTTGAGCTGAGCATAGCTTAATGTAGTAGAAAGTGTGAGCTACAAAATGAGATCACTTCCACCACTCCACGATCTTTCTTCAAAACGTTATGTATTTTTGAAGTTTTTCCTTTAAAGCTTAAAGAACTCAGTTTTTTAATTTTATAAACTTTTCTTTCCTTCTCTCTACATTCAAAATTTTTCCTACACATAGTCTGATAGAAGAAATGTTTCTTCACGTTTTCCAGAATTTTCTGATGAGTTTTCGTGGAGATATAAGCATCGCAGGAAATGCCCTGAAAAAGTGATCTGTGTATAAAATGCATTTTTTCTCGAAGACTATCTTTTGGCTACCTGGCTTCATTGTGTTACATTACGACCCCTCTCCCGCTTTCAATTTCATCCGATCGAGTTAACACTTTTATCAGAGGTACTCAAGACGCTATTGAAAAGATATGTTTTTGGAATTTTATTTTAGACCTTTCTTTACCGAGTTATAGGGTTTCTAAAATTGAAAAATTAGGTTTTTGGGACGTTTTTCAGTATTTTTTCTATAACTCGACCAGGAAAGATCTTAAAAAAGTACCTCTGCGATATGACCTTGAGTATCTCTGGTAAAATTTTTAACTCGATCGAATGACATTTAAGTGGGGTCGTAATGTGACACAATGAAAAATCGAGTTTTCTAGAAAACTGGTGAACGGCAATAGTTAAAAGATCGAAACAAAAACGAAAAAATGCTCCATTCAGTTTCCAATCAGTTCTGCAAAATACAAATGCTTAGTGACTTTTAGTTTTTATTTCCCAGCATTTCTACGCAAAGCCCAAGGGGAGGGGCACCAATAATATAAAGCTCTGAGGCGTGTGCATTTTTTGGCATAAGGCTCAAGTTGGTTCTTCTTTTCTTTAACTTTTTACAGAATTTTTCTAATGTCTGCTAAATTTAAGGTTTGCATTTTTTTCGCAAAACATTTTGCTCGGTAACATCCAGGTATGTTTAAAACTTATTTTACACATATGTTAAAGCTAATTCGCTGACAAAAGAACACATTTTTCCAAATTTTCAAGATGTAGAAGGGAAGTTTTGTGCTATTTTGTGTTAGTTTTTCCGTTAAAATTCCGTTGTTAAACTGTCCATGTATTCCATGATTCTAAACGGAGTCGGTTATAAAAAGAATTTTGTTTTTCGGAACTTTGATTGATTAATTTTCGTAAAAAGACAGTGATTTTTGATCTATTTTTTCATACATGAATTTTTCCAAACACTGTAAAAGTAATACAAGAAATTTCTGTTACGAAAAACAAAATTTCATAGTTTCAAGATTATCACTCACTATTTCAGAACAAAAATGGACGCTTTCGTTTGCGACTAAATATCCGCATCCTTGCCCACTGTATCCATCTTACCTACCAACGATTATTTTAAAATTAAGAATTTTCTTGCTGCTGAGGTGTTGGAACACCACAAAAGCAATCGCTTTGAAATTAGCTGACACGTTGATAAACAAAGTCATAAAGAGTCTTCAGATAACTGTGCCGTGAGAAGCTTTTTGGTGGAACCAACGAGAGCGATCATCATTCACAGTAAAATTTCACCTACACAGTTTCGAGCTATAGAATACGTTCATAAGTGTAGGATTTTCTGGATTTTGATCATGAAATAAAGTATGTTTCTAGAAGAAAAGAACGATTATGCACTACTGAGAATAAAGATTCTGATATTTATTGTAAGACATACAATCAGTAAAATCTTGTTTTTCTTTTTAAGATTTTTAAAATGTATTCATCAATATAATGACTATATTTGTTGCATCTGTAACCACCATTCCTCCTTCAGTTTAACGAGTCATTACGAGGAAACAAATGCTGTTTGTATAAATCGGCAAAATAAGAGAAAAATGATCATTTATATATAAGAAAGTTATATTTTATTGACTTAATCGTTTTGTCTGCTAAAAGGCATTTGAAATAAACAATCATACACACATACAGCGATGATATCATCGAAGATCCTTTGGCAGTTGAAAGTTTTAAGTGTTATTTGTTTAATAAATGTTAACACTTTAAATGCACACGTTGTTCATCAAAAGCACGGTAGATACATCCTAACATTTGCAAAATACATTTTTGCATATATATTCTAATATTTAGAAAAAGCGAAAAACTCATCAGAAAGTTTTTTGTCAGATCATTCTCATCACCACAATAAATTAGAAGGCTTCCACTCAGAAGTACATTCACGTGAGCAATATGACAAAAGTGAAACTCTTTCCCAATTGATAAATACATGTTCTCTTCTTCTTTTTAGAAAACTATGCCTTTGACTTTAATCTACCAATCGATTTATTTACATCAGAAAAATTGTGCGATGATGGTTGTCTTCAACGTGCTCGGGAATCTCTTCAACACGCCATTGAACATTTTTTAACTGAAATTAATCTTGACATATACATAGAACACGTTTTAGTCCTTACACCGACCGTTCAAGGACGTACTCTGAAATTTTCTCTCAAATTCGAATGGATCAGTGATCAAGAACCACCAAGAATCGACGGATCAATATTCCACCAAATTCACGAATTCTTGCCTCACCATCACGTCAGACATGACAATGGAGCAGGACGCTGCGGTTCGCAAGGTTTGTAGTATTATCGTCGAATATCATCTTAGCGAAAAGCGAATCGAATCTTTTGTCACATGAAACATGAGTTAGTTATAGTACACTCTAGTGCGTTTAGAATTTTCACATACCTGTGCTGGCTTGGCTCTCATCCTTCGATGGTGCGGAGTTATTTTGACCATCCAGTAATATCTGACTGCAATATGCCCACGGATGCCGGTCGTATAAGTGTGACGAAGTGATCAATCATTGTACTTTGTTAAACTAAACCGTCAATCAGATGTCTAAACCATAATTTGTTGCCTTATAGGTTTGACTCATAGTTTGATCTCTAGTAGTCGACAAGCTCAATATCATCGACATTCTCATTCCGTTGTTCTGGAATTAAAATGGCGTCCAAATTATGCTGATGTCGATTCTCGTGATTATCGACATTTGCGTCATTTGTTCATAGCTGCTGTTCGTACAATTTTATTAAGAAAACGCTTGCTCGACGATTTATACAGTGTTCATGTTACGTCAGTTCAATCTCATTCACAAGATTCCATCCTCGTACATTATGTTATTTTATTGAGGCACGATTTACCCAGCGAAACTGGAAACTCTGACAATATCATTGAACATGAACTACCCAATTATCTAGATTGGTTCAATGAGTCGTTAGAACATGGTAAGATGAATGACTTTCATTAAACACAGGTAATATTGATATGATTATTAGTCAGATTGTTCTTGATTATTCTAGACCATCATCATAATGCTTCAACTACATCAAATAGCTTTTCTGAAGTTATTCAAATTAAATGGCATCACGATTATTCAAATAACGATTCAGAATCCTATTATAATATTAAATGTTCATTTCACATGTTTATCCGACATCTATTAAAAGAGGCTAACCTTCATGTGGTCGATCATGTACATATTGATGATTTTAAACAAGAAAGAGAGCATGTTCGTGCTACATTTAGCGTTTATTGGAAATTGACTGTGTCCAGCGATGAAATAGAGAAATTTAGAACAGAATTATCGACACATAGCGCTGACTTTACTTTTGTGCATCAGAATGTAAAATTACGAGATCAGTTGGGTAAGTTAGTTTCGATCAAATATGAAGGAATTCTGATTTTCTAAGATCTTGTTACAACACGCACTTGTGCATCTTAAAATCTTGCTACGGTCCGACAGTCTAAACGACTCTTCTTCAGAAACTGCACTAACCATACTAAGGTCTATAGGGAGTGCTGGTGGAAAATCCAAACAGCTCGATATAATCTCTAGAATGTTAGTGTAGAACTACTTCATTTGTTCACTTATAGTTCCACATACCGATCGGCACATAACGGCTCATACGATAAACATTCCGCTCGACTGGACATCAGCAATAAGTGATACCGATTCCAAAAATTTAGAAAATATTCTGTATACCGTATCAGCTGCTGTGAGAACTATTTTACGCAAACATCAGGTCCTCAACGAAGTGCAACGTTTCATCATTAAATTGGTACTATTCACTGACGGCAATGCTGAATTAAAATACAAAATCTTTTGGAAAGACGCCGCCACGACCAACGCTGAGCACATTCAAGACATAATACGCAAAGAATTGGATGATTATAAAACATTATTGGATGAAACCGACTTTGGTAAGTTGTCATGTTTTCATATTTGTCATCGTTAACCAGTATTTCCTAAACAGAGAAGTCCAAAAACAAAACAACAATATATGAAATCAAAATTACACAGAAATGGATAAGAACCGTCAACATCGAATCATTACATCAGTACAACAGACTGAAATACTCATCTCACGCACTCTTATTCCAAACACTTCAAAACCTAAACCAAACCCGAAAACTACGCATTAAATCCATTCACAAAGAAAATGAAACCCTGACATTCCAGGTCGAAACCTACGAGCAAAACGCGAAAATCAAAAACAACTTGGAGCAGGCTATACAGGATCTTGAACAAATTTATAATGGACCACGTTCAATACTGCGAATTACCCACAGTGAGCAAAAGCCAAGACAAACGCTTAAAAAAAGTAAAATGTTTCTTTCCTCTTCTAGAACAACATTCCCACAGACCTCAGACACACACAGAGCATTCCCACATACCTCATCTAACCCATGAAAAACAACACCCAGCTCCAGGAGATCAGGAACAACCCAAAAAGCAGTACCATCAACCGCACGAACAGCATCAACATCAGCTAACCCAATTTCACCCCGAAGACACACACCGCAACGAATCTGACGGACCTCACCGTCCACAACCACAACATCATCTAACTCAGGGCGAGCATACACACTTCCCAAAAACATCCAACAAATCCCATCCACAACACGAACGCCCACAACAACCCGACCATAAGAAAGAGGAAACTCACTCCGATGTCAAAGTATCACATGAAACAAAACAAGATAAAGATTCGAACACTGTCTCGCAAGTGCTGGTGATCGAGGGTACCAAACATGTTGACACAATCAAAGAGCACAAAGAAGAAATTGAAGAGAAAATAAACAAAAATGTACAGAAAGAAATCGAATCCAAGGATGTTGTCGATACATCAAAAGTCAAAGATTCTCACATAAGTCACGTTAAAACAAATGGAACACATACGCTAGTGCACATTGATACTAAAGTGCAAAATGTCAAAGAAAGTGACAAGAGTCATGTGGAACAGGCAGTAGCGAAATCAGCCGAAACGAAAGAGGTAAGATGTGTGTTGCAGGATGGAAATGTTTTGAGACATCGAATTTCGCGACATGTCAATCAACTATGTTGACTAGATATGATCAACTTTGATTGCATTTTAGGTGAAAGAGCACATCGTTAAAAAGACTGGGGAAACGAAGGAAATAGTGTCTGCTGATGGTTTGTGCAGCCGTTGTCCTACATCGGGGACGACGAAATCTACGTCAACAATTGTTTTGCTTGGGGCCAAGTTTTTTTCGGGTGTCGACAGAAGTTTGTTAACTTCGTTTTTGTTGTCGGAGATGAAGACTGAATTGAAGAAGTTTAGTGTTCGGGAGGCGATTTTATCATTCGAAGTGACGCAAGTTATGGATATTGGTAGTGGCGTTGGTATTATATGTGATTATGTAGTCGAATCGTCTGAAGAGAAAGGAGCAGTTAGAGCATTTCAGGGCGTTGCTCTTTCGGCGAAGGTAATGTGTAGTCTTTAGTTTATTAATGTATTGTGGTATCAGGCATTCGTCGTGTTTAGGTCTTGGAGTTTCTTAATAATTCGGTGAAAGCAAGTTAAGGTGAAGCGATGTACAATTTAAAGGTAAGTGAATTTGAAATGGAACATAACGTTTGCTCTTTCTTGTTATTGTCTATAATGTTTTAGTTTCTTAGAATGTTTCGGAAATTCTATTTGAAGAGTATGGACCTCTGAAAGGTAGTTGGTTATACGCTGGAAGCACGGCACTAATAAGTCCTACAATTCTACGTTGAGCGCTGGGTAGCTTAGTACTTAAATAAGATATCTGATATGTGTCAGTACCCGGGGCGATGCTATAGCGTAGTTATAAATGTCTAACTTTTCGAGAGTTTTAATTCTTGTTTGTTCTGTAAATGAGATGTCTGTTTTAGAAAAACATCGATGGAAATAGAAGCAAACCAGAACACCAATAAAACAAATGCTAGGAATGATATTAAACAAACATTAAACATACTTGTCGCAACTTTTTGTTTTGCGATTTTCTTTTTTCTCCGATAGCTGTTTTTTAGTTATGTATGTATATTTGTGTTATGTATGATTTGATCATTTCAAATAAAAGTCTGTAGTGTTTTTGAATCGCTACGTTTTCGCTTTTCAGCGAAGAGTAAGTTTATTGTTCAGCAGAGAGATAAATTTATCAGTCGAGGACGCAGAGAGTTGTGCGTAGTAAAAAGAGTCAGTTATTCCGCTAATTTGTTTTAGAAACCTGTTATTTATCGTCTTGCGATTCTATGACTTGAAGAATGTGAAAAGTTTTCGAATGTCAAGTTTGTCTATAGTACCGTGGCAATATGATAATTTTATCACAAACTTCTTCGAGTGGTACTGTTTTGTTTTTAATTAAGATTTGAGTAGTATGATTTATAAATGTCATCGTCATCAGAAGTAAAGTGTACTCATTCGGCTCTATCGTTGTTTTTTCATTGTTATATGTTGTGATTGGGTCGTCTTGGGTAATCTATCAACTCGTCACGTTTCACTCAAAAAATACGCGGCTTTCGTATGAGTTTTTACAGGGTTTTCTTATCGGTTTTACGCGGTTTTCTTCCCTAAACTACATGACTTTCGTAACAGAATAGTTATAACTATTCTGTTACGAAAGTGAATTGTTTTGTTCTCAGAATTTCTGAGACGCTCTTTACTGGGCTTTCGTCTCAGTATTGTACGGGCCTTTCGTATCCACATTTTTAAGCGGTTTTCGTATAAGGTATGGCTACACTTTAAAGGCTCAGTGCAGGGCTTTCGTACAAGGCTTCTACAGGGCTTTGGCAACGAAGCCCTGAGAGAGTGCTGACTCTTTCTCATAGAAAAGAAACGGTGGAATTATGTATGAACAGACACTCACTAACAAGAAAACAGAAGTTTCATAACGATAGGAATGTACAAGGCACTCACTCAAAGATAGCAATATCTCTACTCTCTCTCTAGTAGTCTGACTGTCGAACTTGGTTGTTGCCCTTCTGTTTTTCTCTCTTTTAACATTTTAGGTTCATTCGTAAAGGAATTCGGATATATACATATACAAAGTTTTACCACTTTGTAACACAGATAGAAAAGATCTGAAATATTTCATTCATTTTTTAGTTGCACAGACTTTCTTTAGCTTCATCGATGATTACGACCTCTTCCTCTGACAGTCTGCAGATTAGATACCATACTGCATAAATTGCATGTATGAAAATGGGTGCACTTCCGACGTTCTTAATACACGATATCTATTCTTTTAACAGTTCAGGATGAGCATTCTTAAGCAGAAAACAGCTGTTTGGTGTGGACCATTTCGTGTGTAACCACAAATGCGATGATATCTTTTCCCAACAAGTAAATCATCACTAAGCTTCGCTACGAAAGCCATGCAGTCAAAGAAATGCAGTAAGAGTTGCCTTACACTCCGGTACGAAAGGCATGTAAAAATCTTTTACGAAAGCCCTGTTGATGAGATATCTGAGACATTAACTATTACACTATAAACATTGGGTTACGAAAGCCCTGTAAGAATATATACGAAAGCCTCGTAAAAGCTGTTTACATGGCTTTCGTATAAAAAAAGATACGGCTTTCGAAACGTGACGAGTTGATAAGCAGCCTCTTTTTGTTGTTGCAAATAATAATTATAATTGTCAGCCACTTTAGGTTTGATTGATAATGTAAGAGTTCTGAAATGACGATGACGGTACTTACAATAATAATACGCCAATGGAATTATATTTAGAATGATTAGAATGATTTTAACCTGTGTCATTCGACTCAGTTTCTGATGCTGATTTCGAATATATGATTAGTTTTACATGAAAAGTTTAGGAAAAATTATACTCAAAATAACGAAAAAAATGTCCATGTGGAAAATAATATTAGTTTCAAAATTTTCCCTAAACTTTTGGTAGCATCCCTTGCCAAAAATAGAAAGTCTACTGGTTCCCGAGTGTGCTGAATACGAGAAAGAAGTTTTTCGCGGCTTTAAATGAACTTTGTTTCTCTATCGGTGATATGTTTTTAAATCCGACAGGGTCCTTTTCTAACATTGGCTAAGAGTCTTTTTCATACTTTCTCTTAGCGCCATCTCCCTGAACCTTAAAAATGTTGAGAAGATGGCCGATATTTAATTTTCTAGTACGGTAAACGATGTTAATTTAATAAAAACTACTGAAAGCAGCTCCGAATAGTCTGTTTTGTATTCTTTTTCTGATGATATTTAAACAGTACATTCAACAAAGCGTGGAGGTACACACGCAATCTCAATGTCTATATTTTCTCGACAGGATCGATAATAGAGTGAAACGTTTACTTGATGGCACCTTGTCTTTTCATTAATCAGCCGCTGGGATACATCCATGGTATACGATTCTTCGACGTTTAATCCGTACTCTGCGTTGCTACGCAGAACTAATTACAGATAATGTAAATGATGCTTTCTTTTCGCTCGGCTTTAGTGCTGTGCTAACTGGTATAAAAAATGCTTTTTAAGCCATGCTAGTTTTGCATCGCAGCTTGAAATGGACGAAGTCAATCTTTGAATAGAACAAAATAAATTTACTTTTGTAAAAAAATGCAAAACTAAACTTGACGTTATTGTTCTATATACCGAACGATGATTAAAGTTCACCTGCTAGTGGAAACCGATATCGTTCATTTGAATGTTTGTCGTGAAGTCAGTTTCTAATTTTTCTAGTCAGGATCTGAAAATACTTCACAAACTGAAGCTGACCATTTGCAAAATAAAACCTGTGGTAGTTAGTAGTCAGAATACGAGAGCCCGAAAACTGGAGAGAATTCGTATAAAAGGCATTGTATTTTGCTGTGTTTAGGCCTTCAGCAATATGCCTCTGTAACCTATATCATCAACTCTATTGAAATTTGTTTCCTCTGCTGGTTCAATATTATTTTTCATGGAATAAGTCTGATTATGATTGAAAGGTGCATAAAATACCATCCTTTGCATCGACAGATAAAAAGTGCTTTGTAGTGCTCTACTCTAAAAGCAAGAGAATAGATAAGGTTTCTAACGGGAAGTACGGCAATCATAAACTGTAATGTACTTTTGGAAGTTTGAATTTAATAAATTTAGTTCGAATGAAAATTCGAAGCAAAATGCCTAGGTACATTCAGTTTTTTGGCCAGAGTTATCAAGTCCGAGAAAACAGAACAACAACTTTTACAATAGAAACTGAGTCTTATGGTTTTCTCATTTGTCAATAAAAGTTAGATTTAAGGTCGACAAAGAAAAGAATACAAAATCACAAGAAAACCAATCATAACTTGATACGGCCAAACAGCCATCTCTACTTAGTCTCGGTATGCTGCAAACGTCTTCGTAATCACCTTCTCATTCAGAAGCAATTCGTAATAAATATTTTATACCATATTTATCCTTATGGAAAATGGTCTACAAAATCATAAACTGATATGTTACCTCGTTACAGAGAGTTCTTTTAAGTGTTAGCAAAAGAAAATATTCACACTCCCATCTAGTTCTGTTTTAGCAAAACCAAAAGACCGAAAGTAAGAGTCATAAAATGTGTTAGGAGAAAGAAGCAATTCAAAACTGTCATCAAAATTAATTGTTATAACGATATAAATAATTGATGTGTGTATTTTGGTTTTGTTTTCTGTCGTTTTGTTACATGTTTCTCATTTGTATTTTATACCATTTATGTATTCACAACTGAATAATTAATTAGTTTTAACATTTCATATGATATACTTAATTCTTTACATCTTTCGAACAAGTTTTTATAAACTAAATTTTGAAAGTCACGAACTCTTTTCCTTTACGTTACCTACAGCGAATTTACAAAACGTGTACACTTGGTTCTGGCAGCAAAGTGAACATGTACTCTGAATTCTCATTAAAAATACCGCTGTCAATTCTATCAATGTATTATATCTAATTATTTGAGGCTTTTTGCCGAACGATCGATCAATGAATCTTTGCTTAGTCTTTCATGTCGATTGTTTCGTTTAGTTGGTTCGCCCATAAACGTGGTTTCTAGCTTTTTGCTTTTTTTGTTTTTATTTTTCCTAATATAATCCAAAGGGTGAGATAAATTACTCCTTTCAGCATGTATCAGCTATAAGCGCAACAAAGACAATGTTCGGGACTGAGAAACTTTTTTCACTGGAAATATATGGAGTCGTTGTATAAAAATTTTCATGAAACTGAGCGGTCAAAAATTTAAATAATTATTACAACTATATTAAGCTATTAGTTACTTAAATTGACTAAATGGCGAATGAAAATTCACTTTTACGAGCTCGTCTGCTCTTGAAAGGCGAAATCGAAAAGTTAAAAATCTTTGGTTGATGATCCTAGATCGTTATCTAGAAAAAGTTTAGTGTTTATAAAGATTTTTCATAGTACATTTTTCCGATTTTTTTATCATTTCTAAGTTCATCCGATATCAGGTTGATGGAGAGGATAGATCGATCTTCTTATATTCCGTATTTTTTTCTATCACACATTCAATAGATCTCGTCTATTTAACAATGATATTGTAATTGGACATCCCTTTAGAAATATTTTATATCCGAAGTGCTTCTAACTAATTATTCCCATCGCGTTCTTAGAAGTAAGTTTTCGTTCTTATAAGAGATACATGACATATCAAATGTTAGCTTAGTTAGTGAAAGTGTATTGCAAATTTTTGTTGATATTTTTTTTATTTTAGAAATGAAACTGACGAGCAACTCGTCATGATTGACCTGATTTTGACTGACAAACGAACAAAAACACTGAGACATGCCGGTGCAGTTGTCAGATTTTCAAAGTATGCGAAATCAATATTACTTAGCGTAGATTGTTTATAAATGCTCTTTGGTTTTTATTTTTTATTCAGAGATTGGTCTTGGGTTATCGATATTCGGCGTCGGTTTTCTATTTATTGGCATGATATTCTTATTTGATAAAGGTCTATTAGCTGTAGGCAATGTGAGTTGAATAAAAATCTCAATATAGTCTGTAACATATATATTTGGTTATGTTTTTCTTGAATTTCTTTAGATTCTATTTCTTGCTGGATTATCAATGATTATTGGATTTGAAAGAACATTTCGATTTTTTTTTCAAAGATATAAAATAAAAGGCACAGTATTATTTTTTGGTGGTATTTCATTTGTGTTATTTGGTTGGCCGCTTATTGGAATGATTATTGAAGCATACGGATTTTTCCTGTTATTCGGGTATGTAAAATGCTGTTTTGACTAATATCTGACAAATGATGGTGGCTATGATCATATTTTCGTGTCACACTGTTACGTCCAATCTTTTAATGATTTTTTTAATAGATTTTTTAATTTTTCATCCAAACGAAAAAGACAGAGACCATGCAATAAGTTTTTCACGAATTAACAAGCCATTTATCTATAATATTAAAAAAGCGTTCTCCCTTTTCTCTTTTGTAGTGGTTTTCTACCTGTCGCTGTCAATTTTCTGAGACGTCTTCCAATTATTGGTTCAATACTACTGTTACCAGGCATTCGTCAGGTTTGTAAACTGATGATGAAGAAAGTCGACATCGCTCTTATCTTATATGTAACATTTCTTCTGTTTCATTTTAGGTGATTGATAAACTATCCGAGAGTCGTTCGATGGTGTGAAAATATCCAGTGGTACTGAACTCGTACTTCTTTTCGTTTTGCTTCTTTCTGCCCTTCGCTCTAACTGAATGTGTTCAGATTAGACATGGACGGGACCAAGGTTTTCAGTCCCAGTCCTGTCCATATCTAGTTTAGATCAATCTATTCTATCGAGAGTTTCACTTTTCCCCTGTAATACCTTAGATTACTTAATGAATGTTTACTCAGACTGATATTCCACGAAAACCGCTGAAACACCATCAGCATTTCGTTAAAAAAATCGTTCCCTGTGCAAGTTAAGTTTTCGTTCTCTTTTTCGAAATATAACAAGGAAGAAAGTAAACTTGTTGTTTTGTTACTGCTAAATATTTCTTATACTTGTTTAAAGACACATTTTTGTTGTGTTTTTCGCGTTTGTTTGTTTTTCTCTTTATGTTCTTTTATTCTAACCATTTTTATATTTTTGAATTGTTATCGTCGTTCAAAGGAAGAAGAGAAAAATATGTCACCGTCGAGCCTTTGATCCATTTTTTTTTTGAGATCCATATCAGCGTTCAAACTCTGATCCAGATCAATCTCAGATTGATCTAGATCAAATTCGACGATGTTCACTTCAGCATCTCCGGTCATCTCTTGAGAAACGGTGATGTCATGAAGTTAGAAGGAGAAGAAATTGATGGTAGTATTATCCAGCTTCGATTGACATACGTCAAAGAATTTGTATGGAAATTATTGTTATTCTAGTATTTGAAGCTGTTCGTTTGATTTTCAGCAATGGTTGGTAAAATTAACCAAAAAATCTTTTCTTGCTAAAACTCATTTTTGACTTAGTTTAACAATTTGTTTGAGGAAACAAGCATTGCAACAAGACTGAGCATTAGAGATCTGCACGGGCACGGCCAAACTGCTCTCTTGGGCGGGCAGAGATTTTACAAAAAAAAATATCACATATGTGGCACATCCGAGAGGAAAAAAGCTTTTTTCTGCTCGGGCACGGGTAACAAAAAAAATTCACGGACGGGTACGGGCAAAAAAATCTTGCCCATGCAGACCTCTACTGAACATGGGCAATTACTTATGATTCATCTATTTTTAAGGTTATTTGCGCAACTAGATATCAATTTCTCTAGCTCCTGGAAAATCGTACCACTACGTTCACTACGAAATCCTAGATACGTCGCTGTGAAAATAATTAAGTGCAGTAAAAGGATCTGTTCAAAATATTTTGTTCGATTTCGTCAAAATTTAAAGCCCTGCTCGTAAGGAAGCACTGAGATCCCTGGTCTTCTCACACCGATGAATTGTTAAAATCGGTTAACATAAAAGACTCACTGCAACTATCTAAAGAAGTGTCCCTAAGACTAATCATCTATATCAGATTCGTCCCGTCTCTTAGTGTCCCCTGCAGTTTTGTAGCAAGTCTGGAAATGATTGGTTCGTTTTTCTGCCAATTAAATATAATTGAAAGAATCAGAGCACCAAAGTGAAGAAGAAATGCAATTGAAATTAGAACTTAAAATTAAGTTTTAGATTTTAACAAATTTTGAATAATATGGGTCTATTTCCGTGAATATAAATTTCTGCTGCGCAGAACTTTTAGAATGAGATAGAGCGTAAAAGTCTGTACAAGATAGTGAATCTTTTTACTTTTAAACTCTCCAGATATTCTTTAAAACTTTTATTTTTCGATTCGCAATGAAAATTTTATTTTGTTCGGTTGACTCTTCTAATTTATCACCCGCCATATTGTGCCTCCGCACATTTTCTTATCTGTGGCAAAATTTGTACCAATCCTGCTTTTAGCCACAATTGGTGCAAGTTATTTGTGGCTAAAAGCACACATCCGATTAATAAACAATCAAATAGGTAATGCACTAATCAGAAATTGTAATCATTTGCTATTACCCCTGCTAACTCGATCTGAATTTACAAGTGTTCATCGTTAAGCGGTCATTTGTATGAGCGATAATCATTCGAAATTTCAGAATCAGTAATATTGACTATGTGAAGGGATAAGACTTTTTAAAATGCACACGAAGGGCGACAATGTATGTTCGGCGTCATTGATGATCAATTCGTCGATTTTAAGTCTATTGGCAAAACATTATTCCAACGACTTCGCGTTCATCAAAAGTAACGAGCTAACACTATAAAGGATGCTTTGTTTTCATTTTAGATGTCATTTACTTTTAAGAAAAAACTGAGTACTGCTGCGAATGATGCAACATCGGCAGCGCCCTCATCTTCTTCAACCCTTCGTTTACCGCCTGGCACTCGTTTAAACACAAATGGAAATTTGTTATTAATATCATCGGGTATACAATCGTTAGACTCATTTATTGGTGGAGGTTTTCCAGTCGGTTCATTAATTTTGATCTATGAAGATGACGATTCATCCTATTTATCCGATTCCATTCTACGTTGTTTTTTATCGGATGGTGTCTACAGTAAACATGATCTTTGCATATCATCAATGAGAACGGATCCAACACAATTTATCAAGAATTTACCTACTAAAAGTGAAAAAGTATGTGCTAGTTTGTTACATAAACGTTCAATGCATGTTTTTCTGTTTGATTAAGGATCAAGAACAAGAAGACGGCCAAAGTGATGATTCATCGATGAAAATCGCGTGGCGTTATGAAAATCTATCGTCATCTACCCCTTCGCTTAAAGCTCAACAACATTCTCATTACGATTTAAACAGCAAAAATTCAATTCTGCCAGAATTACTTGATCAAATATCTATAACTAAATTTACATGGACAGATTATGAACAGAAACAACAGAGATCTAAGCAGAAATGGTCAACAAGTTATCGTGATTTTTTGTTTCAATCGATCGATAATTTAATATTATCAAATTATTCTACAACAAATGTTAAAGAAGACAAACGTATATTACGTTTGTGCATTCAATCATTATCATCCTGTCTATTCGATACGGATCAGGAACGTTTTGCTCAAATATATTCATTTCTCTATTGTTTAAGGATATCGCTACGTCAATCATTAGCAACGTGTATTGTAACATTATCATCAAAATATTTCTATAAACAACTGGAAAATTTATGTGATATTATTTTCGAAATGAAACTACCATCTCAACTGATAAGTGGTGATTACGTTGGATTTTGCAATATAATCAAATTACCTAAATTAAACTCGATCACATCTTTTATACCGGATACATGGGACATTGGAATTAAACTGATTAAACATAAGAAATATCTGTTGTTTGAAAAATATTCTATCCCACCAGATCTCGCTAGTGATGCGAGTCGAGATGGCTCCAATGAAAAAAAGAGTAGTAGTTTAATGAACAATTCATCTTCGGCATGTTCGACTCATCTTCAAGCTAATAAATTAGATTTTTAATCAGTTTTTCTAAGAAAGACTGATATCTTGTTTCTAATGTGTCAAGGAATTCACCCAAAAATGTTATAAAAAAGGTCTGAATTTTTTACTGATGTCTATGTGTTCATGGGGCTTTCATGACTATTCGTCTAGGTAAACTCAGTAAATACATGTAACCATGTCATATGATCTACTCGACGGTGCCGTTTTTAATGGTGTTTTATATTCTTTTCTATTCGTTATGTGAAAATAAGAACAGTGATGTGATATTTTGCTTGTTATTGCTACTTTTTTCTAAATACAAAATATGAATGAAAACACTTCGATAAACATAACGTAAAGCAAGTGTGCTGGGTATGATTTGGCTTGTTATTGACTCTTTGCGTACACTTATATATATATTTCTTTAGACTAACGAAATCGTACAGCGTAATTCTTTTACTCTTGATTGAAACGCCTATTAAAATATTATAAACCAGAGATAAGTTGAAACGAATTCGGATAAATTAAATCTGATTACTTTAACTATCTTCTAGTATAGACTAATTTACTGAATTTGTATTTTGTTGTAGATAACAAATCTAAAAATTATTTAGTCTATAAAAAAGATGTGTTTTCAATTTATGCCGTTGTTTTGTTAGCTGATTTAACTCGACTAGAATTGTGATCATGGATGACGAAGAAGACACTAACAGCAACACTGATTCTCCTGCAAATGACACATGCTATCGTAATTCAAGATATTATGAGTTATCATTAAAAAGATCAAACAGTTCACCTGCTATTCATATGATTATTAATAATCTCGAGTAATTTTGTCAAAAGCATAAATTTATTTATTTATTGTAAAAAAAGTCATTTTTTTTCTTTGAAGAAATGATATGCAATATGAGCACATGGATCTTTGTGAGTCTAAATTTCGTCGTCACAGTTCATCTTTTGTTAGTGTAAGTAAAATTTTGAATGAATGCAAAGTATCTACTAGTGTGTTTAATTTTAGTCTTCACAGTATTCAAAACCTGGACGCTTGGCACAAATTATGAAAAACGAAACTGGAAATCCTATCACAGACGAAGTTACTCAAGAACGGTAACCTTATTGCTTAATTAGCCTGTAAATATTAGGTGTAAAAAAAAAGCATCAAAGAAAAAGCGCATTCTTCCAGAAGTTCTTACCGTACTCCTTACACCAAAACTTACACCATACTTCCTTTTTTCTTCACCTAGGTACCGATCGTAGATCTTTCGTTTATATCTGGGTTTATATGCATCTTGACAATGTTATTTATCTTCTTCTTTTAGTGATTTACATGATAATATAAAAATGTCGATATCATTCACTGATCTTGCTGTTGGAGTATGTTTTTTTCATATTATAAATTTATATATACAACTATTCTATGTCTCTTCTATTTCATAAGGATGAACAATTACATCCACCAACAGCTCAGTCGATTGATAGTCGTCGTTCATCAGTTAACAGTTCAGATTCATCTACCAATTGTTGCCCATCTCCAAGTCCATCAACTCCAATTCGAACTAGTACTATTGTTAGCAATCAACGTGTAAGTGTCACACTCAGAAATATATCAGACTGCAGTTGTATACACATTTGTCGTTCTTTTTGTTTTAGCAATGTTATTCACCTGCTTTACAGCAGCAAGTTGCACCATTTCAGTGTTACTTATCGAGTCCGCCTGTAAATTAGTTTTTCTAAATTATGAATCTTTTATCGACTAACATTTGTGTAAAGTAATTCGTACTATTTTAGAGTCGATCACAAAGTCCCATAGCAAAGTCATCGTCCTCTTCGTCTTCCTGCTCATCGTCAGTACATCTGCCAACATTTCCAAATGTAAAACGAAAACGTAAGAATACTGTTGTTTTATGCGTTGAAAAAAAAATGAATGTATTCTGTATTTTTGTGTAGATTGCGAAGATCGAGATACCAGTGGACAAATAAGTAAACGAATGGCAGTCGATAGTGATTGTTTATTTGGACAACAAAACTCTTCAACGTAAGTTCGATTTTTAAAACTCATCGTTAGAAAGACCTCTGTTACTTCGAAATATTTTCTTAATTAACTATCCATTTTTTAGTGATTCAATTCTATTAAAAAATAGTCAAGTAATGGTGACTTCATCATCAATTAATACTAACGACAATAAGAATCTTCTATTACCATCATCAAATTCATCATCATTTAAACCAATTCTCCGTCGATCATCCAATGTAACTTCACAACAACAGCATTCTAACAGTTTTAGTCTTTGTACCATCACAACAACTTCTTTTTCACTTTCTTCACATCAACAACAAATTGACATTGATTCACCACCTTCACCAAACAATCATTTTGGTTCAAGTTGTTCAAGTCCAACATCATCTACATCTTCTTCCTATTCGTTTGCACCAATATCACCGGCAACAACAACAACGACGATGACAACATATTCTTCTTATGTGTCAACATCATCATTACTCTTACCAGCCGCTAATTCATACAATCTCCAACTTCAAAATAAGCACAAGAATATTCAGTCGTTGGTAATTCCATCAACAGATTCAACTTCAACGCAATTAATCACATCTATAACAAGGTAACTAAATAATACGTCTCAGTAGTAAACATTCAATTTTGTCTCTATTTCTTTTAAAACACAGTATAGAGATAGATGTATACAAACAAAAAATATATTGTTTGATTGACATATTGTAGAGATTATCCAAGAAAATCTTTCAATAGTATTCATGGATAAATATTTTATTTAGTTCACATCAACACCATCATCCTCATTCAAATATGCAATCATGTTCATCTAATCAATTACAACGTGATCGTTCATTAGAACAAGATTCTGATATAGTAGTTAAAGCGACGTCTGATCCTCCAACTACCACAAGTAAATTAGAGCCATTATCTGTTTTATTACCTCCACTTGACACATTAAAAGCAACAACTACACTCACTGATGATGGTTATTCATCGGCTTGGACTAGTCCGAAAGAATCGATTACTGGCAATAATTCGGTGAAACATACATTTCAAACATATTCAATTGATTCCTATAGTTCTATTTCTTCTTCTTCGACCAAGGATAATTTAGATTTAGATATTACTCAAAATGATTAGTTCCCATCCATACCAATTTGAACCTGAATTTTTCTTACCACTAAGTGTTGTGATAATAGATGGCATTTTTCAAGATTAGAGAACAATTTCCTAAATTTTTTTAACCTTTCAAAACGCAAATAAACGAAGAACAAATTACGGAACGTTTTGGATGGGATGAAGTCTACGTTCATCATGTCAATTCATCTCCTTCAATATTTCCAAACATCATTCCACGATTAATCATTGATGAATCACTAATCTTTGCATTAGATTAGTGGATTGTTGATACACAAAAAGCTTCTGTTTACTCTTTCTTTTCTCTATTTGTCCACTATTAACCATCTGTTTTCTAATTTTATTTTTGTTTCTACTTTGTTAATCTGATTTTTCTTTGTTGTTTCAATTATCAAACTTGTTTATTGTATATGATGAATCTAAAAGTGCTTTCCAAATTGAAGTAATCAACGACTGTTAACTTCGAACAAACATTGTTGTTCATCTGTAAAACTTTTATTTTCTCTCTTATTACTCTTGTACATACAATTGTGTTTGTGTAGGGGGGAAGGTTTTTTTTTCTCTTGTGTAACTAATATTTTAATTTATTTTACTTTCAACAGAAAAATCTACGCTTTTTGAATGTATCTTTGTGTGTTGTGATTATACCTACTCTACTTTAAAACTTCTTTCTACTGTTAGACTAATGTTTTAACGGAAATATTTTTCTGTTTTAATCAGTTTAGGTTTCTTCCGAATGTTTCTTAATGCGATAATATCCTAGCAACAAATGCATAATTGATCAGTCAAACCTATAGTCTACTTAAGTCGTGACCGTATTCTGTCTGATATAAAAAAAGTAACAGATGAGAAAACAATGTTTAACGAAATTTTGGGTACTTAGAGCTTTTTTTGTCATTTACGACGAGTGTAACAGGCGAATCATCAGAATAGATGTACCATGGATAGAAATATTCTAATAAAAAGATTTTTTGTAAACTTAGAGATTTATGGCGATGAGGTTTTTTCTTTACGCTTCAAAAGCTACTTTTCTTGAATCTTGCCTTGCCTATAATCTATCCATGAGAAGTCAATAAAATAGTAAACCTGATTCTTTCTTTCCGTCTCTTTTTTTCTAAATTTAGCCATCCCGTTGTATATTTATTTTGAATTTATACTGGCATCTATAAATATATATATATATATATATGTTTCAAATTCAATCAATTATGGTGAAACGAAAATAAGTAAAATATGTTTCTTTTTTCATAAACTTTTTGTTGTTGTTGTACTAGTAAAAAACAAATTTGGATATATGTATGAATAGTTTTTAATACTATATATATATGTACATTTTTCTTTCCGTATACCTTTTTCTTGTTATCATTGCTATGGGCTCTATTTGAGGTTTTTATATGTACACTTACTATTCCTCAATTATCTAGTTTGTTTAATTTTTTGTTTGTTCTGAGTGCCGGTTTCTTTATGATATAGATCTGTTTTTCTTTTTGTGTTTTTTTGGTAGAAAAGAAGACAGAAGAATGATTGTATTTAAGTTTACTTTCAACAGTGTGGGATCACTATATTCCAGAAAACTTCCATGGCTTTCTAGGCTTACAGATCTGCTTAATCGCTGAAGTGACGGAAATTTCTAGCGTACTAATAATGTAGTCTATTAACTTTTACTATAAACCGTAGCAGTTGGCGGTGGTACTATAATTCACTCTCATACAACGTATGTGCCCTCTCCTTTAAATGTCTACTGTTAATCCTATTCCATTAGAATCCAACATTTCTGAAGTTAATCAATATTCGAAATGAGCCACCATCCAGAATTCCATGACATAAAGCTAATATTCTTTAAGCGTAATAGTTTAGCTCTGAGTTCTGAAGAATAAAAACGGGATTGGTGTTGATGGTACTATGTATATCAGAACTTTGTATTGGCTTATAAAGAAAAATTTACGTAGCTCTTTATCATAACCGCGTGGGGGAAGTTTATTCTAAAATTCTGAAAGATTCCATAACTGTAATTTGTATAGGAAATTTATTACACATTTCTCATCTATATAACCGCATTGATCATCCCTATCATCTATCTGAACCGCGATGTATTGGAACTTCAAACGTGTTGTGATCAAGTGGATTTTGTAGACTTAGAAATTCTACTGATATTCCTTGAAAATTTAGACATTCAACACATTTCTTCATTTATCAACATCTCCGATGATCCTCTTCGATCTCTAAGTATCATTCTAACATATTATAATAGAATCATAGTTAAAATACATAATCTTAGACAGTGCGCTTGTTTAAAATTCTCCAATTAGTTTAAAGGATATCCTTCTCAAAAATAAAAGTGAAATATTCTTAATCAGTATATAGTTAAAATAATTAATACTTGTTGTAAATTCTAAAAGATACCTTTTAATTTAGCTATGTTCTCTGTCATATACGTAACTAGCGTATGGATATTAACTTTGTTTATTTTCAGATATCTTCAGTTTGAATTGATATCTTTGTTCTCTTTCATTAATGATAAATGTCAATGAATTACCCAATAGAAATGGTTTATTATGTCTAAATATTCAATATAATAGTTGTTCATACCGTTCTCTTTGGTTATGCTCTAATCATATCACAATTCCTTCAAGAACAATCAATGGGTTAATAATATGAATAAACACATGATTAAACCAGAATATGTGACTAGTGAAAAATGTTTTTTCGAATATTAACAACTATTGGATACATTACGCAACGAACTTATTGTATTGCTCAAGAATACTAATAACAATTTCATCAAGTTAAACAACAACAATAACAGGTTCATATCAAAGTACTATTATCACAAAAATTTGGTGCAGTGATCAAATAATAATAGATATTCTAAACGGTATCTCAAAATTACATTTTCAATTATCAAATAATAAGACATGAACAACAACAAAAAATCAAATTTTAACAATATTTCACTCAAAAGTATTTAGTGAGAAATATGATGATGGTTATTTGAGAAATAAAAACAAAAAAAGAATAAGAACGTATTGAATACCGAAATATTATTTACAAGAAAATAGGACTAGATTATTGATATCCAATCAAAAAAATACTTTTTTAGTGAATAAACAAAATGATAAACTTGATTTATTCTATTTCAACAAAAATATTCAGAATATCTACTTGAGTGTAAACGCTGATTGGTAATAATCTATGAATCAGGCCATATGAATATGCTGTAGATCACCAGAAAGCTCAATGGATATGTATAATTTTTTTTCCTAGACCGTAAATTGTTATACATATAGAATTTGTCTTGTTTAAATAAAACATATTTATTCAGTCGGTGAATGTTTCACAAAAAAATCTAAAATGTATCTTGGTCTATTTTTACGAAAATGATTCAAATTAGATATTCAACTTAATTTTAGCTTCGATTTTTTTTCAAAATAAGCACAAACGATTTTCGAACCTTTTTATCCCATCGAATATCAAAAGAAGGATGCATGGTTATTGATAACTATGGAACTGGAATATTTGTGTCGATTTAAAACATCAATTAAACGATGGATAAAGAATTATGTGATCAATAGACATGATCAAGGTATTACACGATTAAAAACTGATCATTTTCAAATGGTCTAGTTATAATGAAAATATTAAAAATGGTAAATTGATTTTACACGATTGTAATATGTCACGTTTATGATGAAGTTTCAATTTAGATTCAGTTACAAACATAAACAGTTATATCTGTTGATTAATATAAAATCGAAGTTTTCTAATTGTTTTAATTATATTATTTTAGGAATGCTTCATATATTAACAGTTTAGTTTAACAGTAAAACATTGGCTTTTATTGTTTTTTTATTTAATATATTTTTATTATAGCTAATTTATCATTCATTTCTCTTCTGATTTTTCTAATGTAATTACAATTTCAAACGGGAAAAATTAGCAAATAGCACTGAGAAATAATCAAAATCATTTTTCATTGAGTTTCTGTTACAAAACGTTTGAATAACTTGTTAATGATTTATTTTTTGTTTTTATATGGCGTCATCATCATCATCATCATCATCATCAACAACAACACCTACAACATTTGATATAACTCGGCATTCCCATTGTCGTTATAATCCGTTGAAAGATGATTGGGTACTTGTATCACCTCAGCGTTTAAATCGACCTTGGCAAGGTAAAGTTGAAAATAGTGAGAAAAATGCTGCTAAAGAAAGCGAAAACAACAACAAGGACGATGAATCACTAAATAAATCACCAGAAAAAGCCAATCCATTGTGTCCAGGTGCTGTTCGTACAAGTAATGGTATACGTAATCCAAATTATGAGCATACCTATGTGTTTGAAAATGATTTTCCAGCATTATTACCGACTGTTCCAGATCCTTCGAATAAAGACGATGATATTCTATTTCAATGTCATGCAGCACGTGGTGTATGTAAAGTAATTTGTTTTCATCCCGATTCAAATTTAACATTACCAAGAATGACTCTGGATGATATTAAACATGTTGTTAATACATGGATCGATGTTTATAATGAATTGATTAAGAAATATGCTTGGATACAAATATTTGAAAATAGAGGAGACATCATGGGTTGTTCAAGTAAGTTTATTTTTAAAGACACAGATCACGATCGTCATAATGAGATTGGTGTGTTCATGTCTGAAAATGCAGAATAGTAATTTAAAAGCGTATTTATTTTTAAAATTTTGTTTAGATCCGCATCCTCACTGCCAAGTATGGGCAACCGATTTTCTGCCAAATGAAGCTCGTGTCAAACACCGAACTCAATATGAATATAAACAAAAACGTGACAATAAAAATATAATGTTAATGGACTATATTTCCAAAGAACTAAAATTAAATGAACGTATTGTCATTGAAAATGATCACTGGCTCGTACTTGTCCCATACTGGGCTGTTTGGCCATATGAAACGATGTTGCTGCCAAAACGACATGTTTTACGCTTAAATGAATTGAATGATGATGATGATGACGCCATATAAAAACAAAAAATAAATCATTAACAAGTTATTCAAACGTTTTGTAACAGAAACTCAATNCATGTTTTACGCTTAAATGAATTGAATGATGATGAAAAACAATCTCTGGCTATAACAATGAAACAATTGCTAATTAAATATGATAATTTGTTTGAAACATCATTTCCGTACTCGATGGGATGGCATTGTGCACCTACTGCCAAATATTTAGACGAAGATTGTCAATATTGGCAATTACATGCTAGTTATTATCCACCATTAGTACGTTCAGCAACTATTAAAAAATTTATGGTCGGTTATGAAATGTTAGCACAAGCACAAAGAGACATAACACCGGAATATGCGGCACAAACATTAAAACAATTATCGGGTGAAATTCACTATAAAGATAAAAAATAACTGTTAAGAATTTTTATAGGATGAAATTGTGTTATTATTCGAACAAAGTGTTCTCTTGTACGATCATCGTTTATGCCAAACATTTCGTTACTTTTA